CCGCCTCCCCTTCCGTCCCCTCCCATCTCGCCTGACCAGCATACGCTCCCCCCATCCCCTTCCGATGCCTTTCCTCCCTTGCCCGTCCGCCTGCCACTACGGAACCATGCCACGTCCTCGGTTTCCGAAGCGAGGGCGGGGGATGCCGATGCCGCAACTCCTCCCCTTGCTTCTGCAAACCCCTCCTTTGTTCCACCCCCTTCCGACTAAAGCCGCGCTCCAGTTGCTACCCCTGCCACCCCTGAAGCGAGTCCTCCACGCACGCCCGCTGAAGCTTCCTCATCACCCTCACATCTCCTCCGAAAGCGCCCACTGTCCTTCTCCGCCGAGCTTCCCCCACCTCATCGGCCTCGCGGCAGCAATGAATCGCAACAACCAGGCCTTCGTCCCCCACCCACCAGCTCACAATGAGTCGCCCAAGCCCATCCTCGTCTGCGATTCTGTCCTCCTCGGCTCCGCCCCGCTACGCCCCCCGGGTCGCGCCTCCGGGCCCCTCCCCGCCCCTTCCCTCAGTCCATGACATCCTCCTCAGCCCATTTTAGTCGTCCCAAATCTACTCAGCTGTACCCGCCCCGTACCTCCACAGCTTAAAATTACTTCTCATCAAGCTGGTTCGTGCAGCTGCCGCCACCACCGACCCTTCCGCGACCCACCGCGCCTTCCTCTGCCTCCACCTCCTACCAACCGCCGTCCTTCGACGGACGTTCCGCGGCGAGCCTGGCTGGCGCACAAGAAAGGGGCAGCACCATGCCCTGCGCGACCGCATCCGTAGAGCAAATTCTGGCCTTCAATGGCCTTCGTTATGGCAAGAAGCCCTGGACGCGCTACAGTACGACCTTGACTGGCACGAACGACACGGTAGGCGGTGCCAGCGCGCCGACTCGTCCCAACGTCGAGTCACCCGCGCGATGCGCTTTGCAGCCGATTCACATTACGGACGAGCGATGAGAGCCCTAACGGACAAGCCGCTCGCCAATCTCCAGGACCCCGCTACACACCAGAAACTGACCTTCCTTCACCCCTCTCCAGCGGCACCCGTCCAACCGCTCCTCTCTACCGAGCTGCCGCCGGCACCTGACATAACAGAAGGGCAAGTCCTCCGTGCCACTCGGTCTATGAATCCCTCTTCTGCCGCTGGGCCGGACCGACTGTCTCCACGCCTCCTACAGTTGCTGGCCCATACGTCTGTGAGCCCCGAATCCGGGATCACGGGACTGTCGGCACTCACTGGTCTTGTCCAGCGTCTCGCACGCGGAGACGTGCCCGACGGCACGGCCTCCTTACTGGCGGCTTCCACCCTCATCCCTCTTCAACCTCGCCCCGACAAAATCCGCCCCATAGCGGTCGGGACAGCTCTGCGTCGGCTTGTGACAAAAACGCTGCTACATGCGGCCATTGAAGACACACGGGATCTCCTTGCACCAGAGCAGCTCGCGAATGGCGTCTAGTCCGGCATGGACGCCATTGTCCATGACTCTAGCATGCTGATGGCCAGACACGGCCGGGACCCCAATTTCATTCTTGTCTCTGTCGACGCTCGTAATGCATTTAATACTTTCTCACGGCAAGCAATGATCAACAAATTATCGCTGCAGACTCCGAGCTTGGCCCACTTTCTCAATATGATATACGGCCGTACTGTACCGGATCTCGTTCTGCCGTCCCCCCCTCGAGTCCTTTTGAAGAGTCGTCAAGGCACACAGCAGGGAGACCCTGCTGGAATGCTTTTGTTTTCGCTCGCTGTGCAGCCTCTCGTGATGCGAATCAGCCGAGAGTGCCATCTTTCGCTGAACCGGTGGTACGCTGACGACGGCACTCTCGCAGGAACAATACCGGAGGTGACCAAAGCGCTGAAAATCTTGAAAACGTCCGGCCCTGACATGGAATTTACCATGAACGTCTCGAAATGTCGTGCATATTGGCCTGGCCCTCCATGATCCCCGCTCTTCTACAAAATATGACCCAATTGTTCCCATTGGATGTCACACAAGACGGTGGGATTGCTCTCCTCGGTGCTCCCCTTGGAACCGAATCATACATTAAGAAATTCTTACGCCAAAAAATCTCGTCGGTGTCAGACTCACTCAAGCTCCTAGATGATGTGCCTGATGCACGCGTACGGTTTCACCTACACCGCGTGACAGGGTCAGTTTGCAAGGTGGAGCATGTGTTTCGCTTGACACCTCCCGCTGTGTCCCTCCCACTTGCTGTATGCTTTGACGAATTACAGCAGGCTACGTACTCGCGGTTTAATGGCATACCGCTCTCCCCCTCCTTGTTGATGCAAATAGGACTCCCCTTTCGTATGGGGGCCATGGGTTTACACCTCTCACTCCATTTGTGCACGCATCGTATGCAGCAAGCCTCCTCGAATCTGGCTCTGTTCGTATCCAAGGTCCTGCGCATCCTTCCGTCCCGCAATACCGCAGTATGTCCCGCCGCTACCTTGTGGGCATCCTCGCGTGTACCCACCCCGAATCGCATACCAGGGGTGTGGTGAGCACGCATTCATCACTTGGACCGTTTGAGCCTGACGCCCTGCTGGACCGACCTGAACGCGTACGTCACACACTATTTAAGGCTCTTCATGAGGCGTTCGCTCGCATTTACTGGGAAAAGTCCGCATGGGACCGGCTACCCTCCCCCTCTGACCACACCGCCGCCTCTGTGCGCCGTCGAGCGCGGTACAACTCTCTCTCCGCTCCCGGAGCCGCTGCATTCCTTTGCGCCCACCCTGCCCTGATGTCCCACGTTTCTAACGAGGCGTAGTCCGTAATGCTACGTCGTCATTTAGATACAACGGTCTACAGCGACTCCATCACGCCCCTTTTGTGCTCCCACTGTCGTCATCGCATGAACACCCGCGGGGACCATGCTGCTATATGTCAGTACGGCTTCGGTGTTGTGCATCGCCACAACACCGTGCGCAACGCTCTTGCGCGACATGCGTTTCGCGCCGCCGGACTGCGTTGTGATCTCGAAGTGCCCTTCCTGATCCCCAGCACTGCTCACCGTCCAGCCGACATCCTCGTCCAACCTTCCCCGCCTCCTGCCGGCGCTCTTCCAGACCGGCCCACCGCCTACGACGTCACTGTACGCAGCCCATATCGCGCAGGAGCCCTCGTCCCGGCCGCTCGACGCGTGGCCGGGGCTGCTGAAGTGGCGGATGCGGACAAACTTCGCACGCACGCGCTCACCTTCTCCGCTCTGCCCTACATTTGCAATCCCACGCTGTGCTCCCCCCGTTGGACTGGCACTTCGTTCCCTTAGCGTTCGACACTCTGGGCGCCCCCAGCGCCCGCACTTCAGCTGTACTCGAGTCCCTCGCTCATCAAATAGCCATCCGCACAGGGACAACGCTTGGTACCGCCAAGTCCCGACTGTCTCAGCGCCTCAGGGCCATTACCATTCATCGTGATTGGCAATCATGCAATCACGCAATCACGCGATCACGACATTAATTTAACGTCGTTCTGCAAGTTGGAGCACAAGATTAATTTTTAGTCGATTGTTTATTTCTTTAATGAGCATGATCATTTTTTAGGAAACGTAATATAAACAACCAACCACAAGGGAGCAGGCACCATTTATTGACGTGATTGCGTGATTGTGTGATTGCCAATCACGATGAATGGAATGGCCCTCAGTTACGCCATTTGGTCAAGCGTTGCCTCCGCCACGCTCGCCCGCATGCCTTATCATGGGCCGGCCTTATCGTGCCCTACCCAAGTGTGAAGCCTGTCCTATGATATAGCATCGGCCATCCCTACCTATTGAAATAAATTTACACACTTTGTACAACAGCACCGAGACCTCTCCGGCAAACGCCTCCATCACGGTATCCGGCATCATATACCGAGCAGCCCCCTTTCCCACCCAGCGCGCTGCCTCGTCTACGGCTGCCTCAAACTCGTCGTTCGGGGCTTCGTACGCGCGCTGCTGCGTCATCAGCCGTGAGCGCAGCTCGTCCAGGTAGGCCGCCGCCTCGCCGGCAAGGGACTATGCTGATAGCGTTTGGGAGCGTAGCACAGGGAGCGGGTGGCAGTGGCAGATACGCGAATGTGGGGAAGGAGCGCATGTGGAGGACGGATATTCTACAGAGAGGGGAGAGGAAGGGGATAGTGCGTAGGATCGTGTACAGCTGAGTGTAGGTAGAGGGTGTAGTAGGGGCGAGGAAGAGAGGACGCGAGCCTTGAGAGACGAGGGTGCCTTGGAAACCAGGTATGAAGATGAGGGAATGAAAAGATAGGAGACGGGGAAGACGTGGCGGAGGGGGTCGGACATGGTTGGAATGAAGCGTAGTTTGAGGAGCTTGCGAAAGGCTTGCTTTGTCAGTGCCGGGCGGGGGGGTTGGGCGGTGGAGGTGAGCAGGAGGGTTGCCAAGATGGCGAGTACAAGCGCCAGGTTGGGATGCGGTGGGATCATGTTTTCGAAGCGTCCATATCGGAGCAATGGCCGGCTTCTTTCCCGAGGATGAAGCGGGTGGATAGAATCATGCGGATGGATGCGGGGCGGGTGGATGGGGATTGAAGAGGTTTGGAGGGAGCTGCGGGGCGCGGAGCTGCGGGGCGCGGGTGTGAGGGGTCTGTTAAAGAATATAGGTTCGTGGGCGGGAGCGGACACATTTGAGACAGGACGAGACTGTCTCTCATGGTGCGGTTGGGCATCAAGTCACTGTACACTGTGTACGGTGACAATGCAGAGGCCAAGGAGACCTTGAGTTAATTTAGGAGGAAAGTGGCACGTTATCATCTGAGGGTCAAGAAAATTGTGCAAAGTATGAAAAAATGCTGCATACGATGTAGACTAAAGTTACAAAATTTGTTGCCATTGTGACGTTATGGACCGATTCAGTTATCGGGCCAACCCTTGTTTATTGAGACAGCCCTATCGCAGGAAATACTGCCCTACGACAGAATCTGTTTTTATCATTACAAACGTCTCGGCGGTGCGGTTCCAACCGGCTTGGTTTCATATCTTAAGTCAGTCTGAAACTGGAGTTATGCTAAAGAAACCCGAAAGGCCCCAAAAAAATTTGTCACGAAAGCCGCGCACAGGGCTAGAGGGTGCATACGCAATCGCACCCCGAACTTCCTTTCGCTCTCCACGGCCACCGCAGCCACTGCCAGTTGCATGTCCAAGCCCGACCCCGCCCGAGCGCGTCTGCGCGGTCGTCTTTCGGATGAATTTGTTCGCGTTATCGCGCAATCGCTGTCCAACTTGCCCGCAATGCGCCCCGACGTCCCCCGCATGATCGCGGTCGATGCCGAGTACCGTCTGCGCGAGCTGATCCAGCTCGCTAAGAGCTTCATGGTCCACTCCAAGCGCACTGGCCTCACCGTAGAAGATGTCGCCAGTGCGTTGCGGAAGCGCAGCGCCGAGCCCGTCTTTGCGCTAGGTGTCGGGGGGCCAAGAACGAAAGTTGCGGACGTTGAGGGCGTGTACATGAGGACGGATAAACTTATCAGGTTGGATGATTTGATCACAGGGGAATTGCCGGGAGGAGGGGGAGGGGTCACCTTGAAGGCGGGCTGGGTTGCCTTGGACGGAGAGCAAGTGGTGGGGGTGAATGGGAGATCAGGTGGAAGGGCGAAGAGGCTCTCGGAAGGGTACGTCCACTATCACTTGTTTTCTTCGCGGTATTTTCCTGTCGGATAACCGCCGAACTGACATGGTCATGAAATGTAATATGCGACAATTCGGCAGAATCCAAGCAGAGTTTGATGCTTTTGTGAAGACAGTTGAAGATGTCATTGCTGATGCAGAAATGGAGTCTGCGAGCGTTGACGCGGTTTTGCGGGACATTGCGACAATGAAAACGATTCACCCTGTTCTTGCGCAACTAGTGGCCCTAATTCGCAGCATGGTTCACGAAAACGCACGACCATCTGGGCGCACTGAAATACTGTATCATGCGACACGGCTGACCTATGCCATGCTATCAAGAAACCACTTCGGAATTGAGGCTTATTATGGCCAAATCCTAGCGCCGCTTCTAACGTGCCTGCTCGGACGTCGGTTGGGGCGAGGGGATCATTGGTCTCTTCGCGATAACGCCGCGTTCGTGCTGGAAGAGGCCTTTAGATTGCATCCTGATCCAGTCTGTAGCGGGCGGACGGCAAAGACGCTCGTCGCTGTTTTAACTGAGAAGCATTCTCCGTTGGAAAGTATTTACGGAAGCATTCGGGGCTTGGCTTCATTGGGACGAGATGTTTTCCAGCTGCAGTTTCTTCCGCATTTACCGGCCTTGCTGATTGCTTTAGAGAGGGCTGCCGGCGCAAATGACGAATTAGAGGGAGATGACAAGGCCGTCGTGGACGAAAAGATATCTCTCGTCTGCCAAGCGATCGAGGAAACGGCGGACTTTGCAGATCGAGAAGAGATGAAAGGAGAGCATCTGATGGACATGACTCTGTGATACTTTCACTATGTACACTTACCATTGTGCAGGTTAAGCTTTCCTTGCCGTGGTCTCCACGGAATCCACTAGTTCTGTTGGCCCCGCGCAAAACGAGACCCGTTTGTGGACATCCTCATCGTCCACGCCCATATCTTTTGTACATAGCATGGCGCGAGAGAAAAATAGGTTTAGACGTTTGGTCAGGTACGTCTGAACTGGGGTGCAAAAAAGGCATGAAGCGTGTGTAGCGACACAGCCTTGCCGTGGTGTTATGTGGACACTTACCCAAAATGCGGTTGCCGGCACCGTCAGTTGCCTTCCCACCCATCTGCTCCACGATAAGTGCGAGCGGTGCAGCTTCGCACAAGAGGTGCATATTATGACCGATGAAGAGACAAGCAGCAGCCATGGCGCCCTGGAAGTTGGCAATCATGCAGCCATTATCATATACCTTTCCCGAGCGGGCGGAACAAAACGCGAGGGCGTGTTTTCCCAATGCCGGGTCCGTTCGAGACTGGTGGTAATCCGTGTAGAGGTCAAAGGAGGGCTTGTCAAAAGCGATAGGATGATTCGGCTGGAGAAAGTATTGGGTGGCGACCGGCTGAAGATAAAACTTGTATACACCGGCATGCATGGTGTAATACAGGGTGGTAGCTGATGAGTACAAGACAAAACCCGCGGCAACCTGATGGTCGACTTGCTGCTGCAGATCCTTGAGCCTTCCTGGAAGACTGGTGGAGGACTTTCGCTTGTACACGCTGAATATGGTGCCGCAGGTGACATTATCTGTGGCGGTTTGGTCGATGTCAAGCGAGGAGAGCATGAGAACGTACCCGCCTTGCACGGCGGATTCGGGAAATGTGAGCGGGGCCTCGCGGTCCTTTTCTAAGATGATGCACGCATATCCGTCATGACACAAGCTGTTATACAACTTCTGCGTAGCGACATGCGGGCGCGGTCCAGATGGGTGAGGCGAATAGTCGGCGTCGGGGGTAGGGCGGGCGCTGTGATGTCTCGCGGCGACGTATTTGGAGACAGAGTGAGTGACGGTGGCAATGTCGTCTAGCAGACGGACGAGCTCACCTGTGCGGTCAGTCGGGTCGCGACGGAAGGAGGCGCGGACGTGCGAGGGGAAAACGGTGGCGGACATGTCGGACGGGGCAGGGAAGAGGACCTGGGTGGGCGGGTGGCTCATTGAGGTCGGGGTCTGTGGGGCCGCAGGCGGCGGCTTGAGCGGGTTGCCCAGCGCCAGCTCGGAAAGGCTGGCGCTCAGTGCGGTGACGACGTGGGACATGGTGCGAGGCGGAAAGTTGGGGAGGTTGTGGGGAAGGTGGAGAATGGGGGAGGATGGGGGAAGGATGGGGGAAGGATGGGGGAAGGATGAGTTTGGTTGTGTTCCTTGATCTGAACGTTTGTTGAAAGGTCGGGAATTCGAGGAGAGGTGTTGGTGGATGGATAGGTGATTGGAGGCTGCGGATGATCGACGTGGCTAGCGATGCAGTGGGACGCCACTTGGCATGGTGGGGTTGGGTGTGGCGCGTGGGGAATTACAGAGACGGCAGCGCGGGTGGGGGGGGGGGATCGAGATGTCAGAGTCGCGATCAGGAGAATAGGTCCTGCGCGGTCATCCGCTCCGAGACGTCTGGCCCTGGCCCCGTCTCATTTTTGCCCCTGGTGTTGGGTCCATGACTCAGCTCGCCTGGTATGCCGTGTTGTAGCGCATTTTTAATCGTTTAAATATCATTGGTGCGCCACTGCCAACAGTGGACGAAGCATGATGGAATCGCTACGGGAAATACCTGTCACTGTAAGTCCAGTTATGCTTGTGACCACGTCTTTCCAAAACTTGCACGGACGTTTATAGTTTCGCCTAAAATTTCCGCAAACGTTTTAATGCGAGGGTGCACGTCTCCAGAATGTTTCTGAGTTTCGCAGAAAAAGTTGCTCAAACTTTCGGCAGCACTTTGGGAACCTTTGAAACTTCAGAAACATTCATCAACCTTTTCAAAGATGCCGGATCGCATTACAGCTCCGATCGAGGGTGGATGGAAATATTCCTTCATTGAGGCCTTGCTTGCAGGATCCAACAAGGTCCACCACCGGGACCAATGGGAGTGCCGTTTGAGGCGAATATCAGAAAAATCAATTGTCAACCAGGATTTTACGGAGCCATGAGCCCTGGTAGTTGGGACCAAAGTTGTATGGCTCTGGGTCACAGGCTCTGGTACCCAGGGCCATTATTGGGACGTATTCTCCTGAATGCGACTCTGTCAGCAGCGGACAGAGCTACTGTAAGGCCCGGTGGCATGCAGCGAGTGAGAGAGAGAGATGTGCTTGCGTCACACGCTACTGTACTCACAATCAATACGGGTTCTCCCTGGTTGTAAATAAAGTTTTTTATCATACGCGATATGCACCCCCAATCAATCGCTACTGCACGCCCAAGACGTTCGCGTCGTTACGGTGACGCTACTGTACACCAATCCTGATGTCATGTCGAGGCGTACTGTACTTGGCAGCATACCGTATCATACAGTACTACCGCACTTCATTACCACATCCGTGCTTTCTTTAAATGCCTAATAGCAGCCACCCTCCTTCGCTAGTCTATACAAACATCTATACAAGATCGTCATGCCGTCAAGCACTCCTTTTTGTCTCCCAGCTTGGACAAGTGCAAGTAAGCATCCGTGCCGTACCCTTCCATACTACTGAGCCCCAGCTCCCCTCCCCAGTATCTCGCGTACAGCCTCGACAACGGCAGCCCGTACCCAAATCCAGCAATCGGGTCTGGTCGATTTGTCCTGTCACACCTGTCCTCGAGCGAGAACAGTTGCTTAGCGGGCAGCTTAGCCGTGGTGAACAGATACGTCCACACTCCTTTCATCTCGGAGCGCCGGAAACCTCCACCCTCGTCCGAGATCTTGATCGTGACGTCCTCCTTTCCGTCGGCCACGATGACGCGCACGGGCGGCAGCTCGGCCGCGTCGCGATGCGTCTCGACCGTGGCGCGGAGCGAGTTCTTGAGCAGTTCAAAGAGGCACAGATACAGATGCGCGTCGATGTACGGAAATTCCAAACTCGTGTTGCCGCGCAGCTCGACCGTCGCAGACTCCCCATAGTGCTGGTACGACAGCGAGCGAGTGGCCTGGATGGCCTGCTCGATGAGGTCGGCCGGGCGACAGGCGTTGTTGATGACGCCCGCCATGCCTGGCTGCCCGCCCCCCAGCGCCAGATGGTGGGACATGAGGACGCGGATGCCGATGCGGGACATGTAGAAGCGGTCGAGGAAGGACCGAATCTCCAAATCCGTGGTGCCTTTGCCGCAGAACTCCTTGAGTTCGATGACACCCTTGGCGATCAACTTGACGACGTCGTCATGTCTTGTCCTTATCCTGCCAAGAATTTCGGAAAATTTTTCCTCGTCGGCGGCGTCCTGCGGGGGACTGCTTTCGACGATGTCACAAAAGCTGTTTTGGTACATTTCGCGGACCTCTCGGACGCTGGGCATGTCGGCGAGGCCGTAGGGTAGTTCGCCGAGTTCGCGGGCGCGATGGGCAAGGCGGACGGGGAGCTCACCGTGGAGCCATTGTGCGCTCTGCAGACGGGTGCGAGCGGGGGTGGCCAGGGCGCGCTTGCCGAACTTATACAGCTCACTAATGGTGAGCGGGGTGCCGCGGCGTGCGGCGTGGCGGACAATTTCCTCGTGTAGCGCTGCGGGGCAGCGGCGCAGCGACTTGCGCTTGTCAGAGCGGAAAGTGGGTCGGGTGAGGGGGGCGCGGGCGCTGGCGCGCGCAAGGGAACGGGGAATGACGGACATAGTGTGGTGATGAGGGGGAAGGGGGGGGGTGAAGAGAGGG